TCAGTTGGACTTGACCGTTTTAGCCTAATACCATGATACGCTATCATACGGTACTGATTAATGTTGAAAAATATTTAAATATTCATCATGCTTGAAAGTGTTGTTTACAGTCCCATTTGATCAAAATAACCATTGGGGGCTTTATCATTGGGTACCAGGTGACAATAAAAAATTTTCCGGACAGGACAAAAATCATGCGTACGAGAATTTTGTAACCCACGGCTGGGGTCCACCTCAAGTAGATACCCGAACAAAAAGGGGCCTACATTTAATTTATCAATGTAATAATTTCCAGAGCTCAGAGATTTCTGGGAATAAACATTTGTGTACCTAGCAGTACACTGGTATAATCGCACTTACGAGCGGTGTTAAGAGCCACGCTGGCTATGCTCCTCGTCTAAGTGGACATCAAGTGTTCACTATTTCATATGATTCGTGAAATGAAGAACATGCCTTGATTGTGCGACTTCCAAGAAATTCATAGCCCATACGAGTACACACCAGGCCTGTAGTCCACGTCAAAATCAACAGCGTGTTATGCTATTTACTCAGGTATACATCAAACTCCGTGAGCAGCTCCATTTCGAAGAAACTGCAATTAATTTTGGAAATTCCCGATCATCTGCCTACGCTGTCGGAATAAGAAATAATCACCCCACATAGGCTTCGCTGATAAGGCCCTGGTATATTGCAAGGTAACTGAGGTTATGAACGGCTGTCGCCAGAGAAGAAAATTAAAAATCCGACAAGAGCTCGATGTACGCGCTTGACGCGCGACTTATCGAGCTCTTGTCGGAGGAGAAGCGCGGTAGGCACCGCTGATTTCCCCGTCACGTGTATCGGAGCAACGAGTTCAACCCCCCAGGAACGGTACCGCATTCTTTTTCCTCCTCTCACACATGTGATTGCATACAGCGCTCTCGAGCAGCCGCAGAGCGGAGCGCACGAGTGGGGCGAAGCGCGTACCTATAAAAGCCACGCGCTGGTCTCACTCGGCCTACTATTATTCCTTTTTGACAAAACAAGGTTCAAGTGAACTTCTCAAACAGCCGTGGGATGCAAAGTTAGCCCCCGGGCATAAGGTAATTTTAAGGTTAAATAAAATAGGACTTGCTCTGATATACAGACAAGCAACCAAATACATACTCATGCTATGCTCAGCAATGCAAATATTGGGCAGTATCCAATTACTAGGCTACTCTCGTTAATTGGGCTGGTATGCTAAACTGTTGTGATAATGAAGCATTTCATTATAAGATAAGGTAAGAGCAACTAGAAAGTGCCGATGCGAACGAGCACGATGCCTTACGTTCACGTAACGCAGTCTACAATTCTTAACGCTACTCACACTTACGTGTGCGTGGCAGAAGTGACGTGACACGTCACAAGACGAGCGTAAGGTGATTTGTGTGGTCAAGTGTAGTGAACTTTGTATCGAAGCCATCCTCCTTTTTGATGTAGAACTCGACTGGCGAACGCGTATCGCCACCGTTTTCTGCCAGCTTAGAGTGAATTGAGTGTGACCTAGTGGGAGATTCATCGACATTTCTGCACAAATGCAAGTATTTTCTTTTCTATTTTCATCAATACGCTCCATAAGTGTACTCGGTAATATTGTGTGTCAAGTCGTAAACAACGATAGACACGCGACCCACAAGGCTTAACCTGAACGCGCTCTGTAAGCACGATAACACGTGTAGCAGAACGCACATGTGAAACACGTGGTAAATACCGCAACGTGTATAACCTCACAAGGTATGCGTCAGCAGTGAGAGCTTCGTGAGCCTCCCCTACTTTCTTCTATGCGTCATAGCCACGCCCCTCTATCGACGTGCCTCGCAGCAATACACAAGCGCTGTACGAGAGCGCGGGCAATATGGGAGTGTTCACGAAAGTCGTGAACAATTAAAGTGCGGTATCGTGACACGTGAATTTCCAATTCTATAACATCATTTTCTTTGCCAATTTGATATTACAAAGACCGATATCCTGTGAAGACAGTGTAACTTTCTTATTGTATTTAGAAGCATTATTTAGTTAATAATCGCATAATTGATTCAGAATAACAACATAAAAAGCGATTATATTCTATCGAATTATCAGTCCTAAGATGTTTCACGAACGCCCTCATATAATAATAATCATAATCACACAAATTTTTGTTAGCGTCAACGCAACTCGCAGTGCGCGTTAAAAGGGACAGTGCCGTAGAACGCACGCGTGTATGAGACAGCGAGGAGAAATACCAGTACACACTGCGAGTGCTCTCAAAAAGCAAGCGTTGCCTTTCAATATATTGCAACGGTGCTGATGTTAGAAATTGCCAAGTAACGCGCTCGCGACGCGCGCTAGTCGTGAGAGAGTCGAGAGAGAGCAGCGAGACGCGAGGTTCCCCTACTCACTCACCAACTTGCACGCGCGCGCAGCGAAAAACCCACACGCCGCGTCCCACTCTATGAAGTACGCGATAGAAGAAGGCGAGCGCATGAGAGCGACCCCCGTTTGTGATGCCAGGGCGCGAGTATAAAAGGAGCAACGCATGCTCCACTGACCCATTCTTAATTACCAATTACTCAACTTTCACACTTAATTTCTGCATTACCCAATTAAAAAAATTAACTTCACGACACTTAGTCAAATTTCATTACTAGTGCCGTGAATTTTTTTAAGTCCAGCTATTGCGACATCACGATCAACACTCACCTTGGTGCTGTTCGATTATCGTAATAGCTGACTGAACTGATTTTCGGTTCGTTACGAAGTGATAATCAGTGTAAGCAATTGTCGCAAGTGCATCCAACCGTACAATCCAGGGGGATGTAAGTTATCTATTGGGAGTTTTCCTTACCATCCAATCACTGCAACACACGCCGAATCAGGTTTCACTCATTAGTAGAATACCGCTAGCGCAGTTGCAGAGATAAACAAAGTACAAGAGAGCCGGACCAGGTTTCACTTATCAGGTGAATACCGTTAGCCCTCTTGTCGAATAGAACACGTCCATCGAAATCTAGGTTCCACTACAATCGTGATGGATGCCAAGACGAGATAGATGGTTCTATGTTCTTTTTACCTTACCCTATCGTACCGTGTATGACTCCTTTTCGTAATTTGACACAGGAACACAAACGAGAGTACGTGCCAGCCCAGCACATCCGCAGATCCGTGTGCATCGGCACCAAGCAAGGTAAAATAAGCCACATTAATCTCACACTCATCACATTCATCCGTCGCAAGTTACGACGCCTGATCAGGCCTCTTTAAGAGTAATCAGCGAGTAACTTGAGAGTTGCAGATTAATTCAAGAATATTAATTAAATTCATTTGTGTTTCCTTTTTGACAATAGCAATTTCCGTAATTTATGCATTCAATAAAACACATTATTTCTTTCACAAAATACTCTGATATTCACAATTATTTAACGGTACTTATATTTGTTCATATTCATACATAGTGATTTTTACTTGTAACTATTTAGTGCGTATCTCCAACGTACAATCCCCGAGTGTCTTACCCACCGCGCTTCGCGCATAGCATTTTTCTCTCTCGCTCTCTCACGTATATTATTGAGGCACGTGTAGAGAGCACTCTCGGACGAGTACTTCTGTAAATTCAATTTCTTACGCGTGCGTATTGTAAGCGCAGCCTAGAAACCTGCGACGCTCGCATAAGAAACGCCTCAATATATGGGCTGAACAGCAGCTGTGGATCGATCACCGTTTGCACCTGGACGACAGGGCTATGCTAGTCAGCCTTGTAATCGAGATTGAGCCACGAAGACCCACGGAGTGTTTTCAGTTTCCGTAGTGTAAGGGTCAGCCTGGTTGCCTTACAAGCAGTGATCCAAGTTCAGTGTGTTAAGTGGAACCACTAGATGACATCGGCGTACATCAGCCGTATTCAACTTCACTTTTACTAGAGTCAGAGCAACTCTTCAACTCGCCTGCATTATATCTTTATCATCTAAGTAAGATAATGAAATCGCAATACCAATAATAAAATAGTCGTGTGTGTGTGTGAAAATAATTCTTTGTCATTTCTCACCCACCCCGCTCTCTTGAACACATGCTCGCCTAAAAAAGGAAGATGTACACAAGCAATATTGATTGATATCAAATAATAACAAAAAACATAATTTGGCAAAAGAGCCATAACAATAGTTTTAAGATACAAATATACAAAGAATTGAGAATTATATTTTATTTTCGATTTGAAAAACAGTATAAACCCATTAAGTCCCAAGAGGACGTTTTTTTAATACTTTATTCGACCACTATATTTTTAGTGAAATTAAGGTAAGAAAAAATGTAAGTAACCAACTCCAATGTAAAATTTAATGCTCTTTCAGAACCTCTTCTCAGATTATTGAAAAAATGATCAGGTCAAAAGTTAAACTTGATTTTATCCAAAAAAACGTGATTTTGAAAAAAAATTTTCTTTTATTTTTTGAATTTCTAAATGGAAACCATTTGAAATTTCAAGGGTTTAGTGTGAATATCGCGTTCTTGATAACTAATCTGAAAGTTAGAGGGGTTACGATAGAAAAAATTCATGTATGAACACAAAAAATGGCAGTCAAAACACGATAGCACGAATAAAAACTTCTAAAATTTTTCTCAAAAACGAAGAGCTTGAGAAAAAAGTGTATTTTAACTTTGTTTTCTTCAATATAAAACCCGCTAACTTTTAGTTAAAATATCGAGGACGCAATATTTCCACGAAATCCCTGTGAAAAATTTTTTTTCAAAATCACGTTTTTTTAAAAGAAATCAAGTTTAACTTGTGAGATGATCATTTTTTCGAAAATCTGAGATCAGATTCTTAAAGGTCATTAAATTTTACATTAGAACTAGATGCTTGCATATTTTTTTGACCCCACTTTCACCAAAATACAGTGGCCTATATAAATAAACGTCCTCTTCAGACTTAATGGGTTAAACAAATTTTCTATTCTCGATATGAATTTACATCGTTTTGACAAATCAATGTACATTTTTAGGTACATAACAGAATTATTTGAAAGCAATTATGAACATAGAAGAATTTAGAATTTATGGTAAGGAAATGGTTGAGTACATTTGTAATTATTTGCAAACATTGAATGATAGAAGAGTTACAGCTAATGTAGAACCAGGTTATTTAAAATACTTATTACCAAAAGAGGCTCCAATGAAACCTGAATCATTCGAACAGATTATGAAAGATGTAGAAAATAAAATTATGCCTGGAGTAAGTAAGACATCGCTTCAATTTCATTTTTTTTAATTAAGGGGGTGGTATAGTGCTGTATGATCAAATGTTCTCTTTTTTGAAGAATTTTATTATTAATATTTACTGTATTATTAATAGAATTTTAATAACATGTGTATTTCATTTATTTTAGCCATTCTAGGCCCAGAAATTGCTAGGATGTCACTTAGTTCCCGAATCGCTTAAATTCTCGCTCCCAATGATTTAAAAGTTAGTTTGGCCTAAAAATGTAAAACCCCATAGATATAAGCCTTCGACGAAGTCATTTAACCGCCCCTGTACTTGAAAATCTACCATGGGTGATGGAAATGAGATTTGAAAGAAAAAAATTTCTTCTCGGCGGTCGATCGTAGCTTGCGTGGAAGACATCGTTGCCGTCATGGGCATATTTTATCAGAGCAATCGACGTAAAAGGCTCGTTGACGATGACAAAGCTTTCCTCACGGACAAGCTGGACCTCGTCGACGCGAGAGGCTACATCGGTAACAAGGACATATTCGAGTTTTTGAGCCCGGGCCCTCAGACACGAAAGTCCTGTCAGCGATGTCGAAGCCATCCTTGTGGACGAGCTCAAGCTCATCGCGGTGAGAGGCTACAACGGCAACCACGTCATTCGCGCAAGCTTCGATCGACCGATTAGGGCGAGTTTTTTGTTTCAAACCTCTTTTCCATGACCCATGGATATCGAGAATGTAACAACATTTAGAAAAATGGAATCGGCGATCTTTGCCACAGCCGCGTGTCATCGCTCTCATAAAATATGCCCATGACGGCAACGAGGTCTTCCACGCAAGCTTCGATCACCCGACGAGAGGAAATTTATTGTTTAAAATCGGTTTCTTATGACCCATGGATATCGAGAATTGACCAACTATTCGAAAAATCGAATCGACGGTCTTTGCCATAGCCGCGTGTCATCGCTCTAATAAAATATGCCCATGACAGCCACGACTTTGGTTGCACCTGCCTCGACCGACCAACAAGAGCAAGATTTATGTTTAAAATTGGTTTTCCATGACCCATGAATATCGAGAATTGCAAAACCTTTTGAAAATTCGAATTGACAGTTTTTGCACCAGCCCCGTATCATTGATCGTATTAAATATGCCCATCGCAGCTCCGAATTGTTGTACTCTTGCGTGAGTCGACTTTCAAACTTTTATTCATTTCATATGTTCATAAGTTTGTTTTATTATTACTGTCAGTTTGTGTACTTACTGAACTTTTTTTTCGACGGCTTTTACCCTGCATGAAATGTCTGGAAGCCCGAATCCAGCAATTAATGTTGTCACTGATGGATGTTTTTCGCTCAGAAAAAAAAAATTTAACATCTATAGAGGTGGATAATTTTTGAATCAGCATTCGACAGGAAATGCAGGCCTTTTTATTAATTTTAATTGACTCTATTTGATTATTTCATAATTCCAAAGATAAAAAAGCATTTGGCGGGGAAGTTGCTCATTGTTGGCCGGCGTTGCTAAGGACCTTTGGAGCTGCACGCTTAGCGTCAAAATTAACTTTTCAAGACACTGAAAATTAATTATTTTGGAGAAGCGATGATAGTTTTTGATAATATTTTTTGGGCAAACACCGTTGAAAAAAATTAGCTTTCTAAAAAATAGTATATTACGTGACAAGGGACGAAAGTCGAACTTCCGTCCCTGCGAGGTTATGCACCCGAGGCGAAGCCGAGGGTGCAAGCTCGCAGAGACAGGCGTTTGACTTTTGTCCCGAGTCGCGTATACGATTTTTCTTTATCCCCGCTCGAAAGTACGTTTGCTTAACATAGTTAAGAAATATTTTATTAAAAAAAATTGTATCCATGAATTTACGCTTACATGGCAAAGCCCGCCGACATTTGCGGCCCGAGCGCAGCGAGGGCTGCTGGTCGACGGCGGGCTTTGCAACAAATATCATCAATAATAATGTTTATTAGTACATAACTAATATTAATAATAAACAATTGTAAATCATAGATAACTATGGCGTTAATAAAATACAAACGATCCCGTAAAGTATAAGCATGAATTAGTACCATATCAATTAAGTAATTCACTCAATCTGAGGTAGACAAGTAGAAACTTGAGTGACCTAGAATAACGTTTAAAGTTGAAAGAATTTTTCAAAATTTATTATAAAAATTAACATATTTTGACTGTCTTTGTTCTCTTAGATTCATTTTTTATTGCAACTACCATCTTTAACGATTTAAATTTCGGATTGGAATTGAATGTAATGAAATGTGTACGTCAAATTATGGCTATTCAATTTTGATACTTCATAGAATTGTTAGTCTTTTAATATTTATCCAATTTGGCATATGTACGTCATAAACAAAGTGAATATAATTCATCTATTGCATCGTCGAAACCAAACGATAATTGAAATGTTGGTTGCCGTAGTCATGGAGATAATAACTTTCGCGCGATATTGACGGGGAGCAAAAGTATTACTTTCGTCCCGAATTCGAAGATGAAAGTACGTACTTTCGAGCATGGGATGAAGAAAAATTTTTTAACCCTTTTTCGAAATTTTTTATTTCACATGTAACTTTGATCGATTATTTATTAAAAACTTTGCTTCTAATCGCTTATATCAGTGTAATTTCATAAACTTCATACGATTCCCTTTAATTTGATGTAAATAACATATAGTCAATAATGTCTTTAACTATTTTTAATTTGATCGGAAAATGTGTCCGCTTTATCGTGGACATACTATAATAGTATCAAAATCAGATCGGAATTTCGTATTAACTATTTCATGAATTTCATCAAATGTATAAGTCATGTAAATATTACTCGGATCTCTGTAAATAAAAATATAATATTGAGAAGCGCTGCGTTTTATAAAAATCGAATCACCACTATCAATATCATCATCAATATCCTATATATTACTCCTTGAAAACTTTTTAAACGTTTTTGCGTCCCCAATTTTTCTGATTTCGATTTCTAAAAAAAAAAAAAAAAACATATATATACATATATGTATATATTATATAATATATATATATATATTCTTAGAATTCAGTAAAAATATCCGAAAAATCACACTTATGTTTTGAGGGTCGCTCAATCTGAATCAGAGGTTATTTTGACTGTATCCGGCCATGTAAAGGTCATTTGAAGGTCATTTTAAGGTCAAATCACGAAAAAAGCTTAAAAAAATCTTAAAATTCTCATTCATAGGTTTTTAAGGATACTGAAATCAAATCTGAAGTCAGATGATCCCTACGACTTTGACTTCAAGGTCGTTTGAATGTCAATCTTAGGGAATTCAATATAAAAATCCGAGAAAATCAGATTCCTATTTTGAGGGTTGTTGAATCGTAATCATTGTTCATATTGACTATACCTAGCCATTTTAAGGTCAATTGGTGGTCATTTAAAGGTCATGTCAAGAGTTACCAAGTGAACGCGATAAAATAACAGAAAAAGATTGTGTATAGGTTTTTGGAGCTGAGGAATTCAGATATTTTATTATCAAGATCAAGGTTTTTTGCATGATTTTTTACTTTTTACTTTTGTAATGCACTTTTTTTTCTTCAAACGATCGGCGTAATGGTTGCTGTTTTCAATTAGTTCCTCTATTTTGGCTCTTTCTCTTCTACATTCAGCAGTAATCAGCCATCATCGCAACCTCCCATCTACCTTGATATCGCTGCTCCATATGTTTTATGTCTTGATGGAACTGTAAGTTCTTGTCGTTGGCCGCACTATCTGGGTACTCACACAAACCAGACAGGCGGTTACAGGGATAGAGGAGAGAAGGGCGGTAAAATGAATAGGCCGAATTTGAGTGCTTAGTTCGGTTTGTATTGTTGGGTTTCGGAGCTCGCTGTGAAGCGACCAGCTCGGGCGTCTGCTCTGAATGATCTGAGCTACAGTGTTGTGCGCTACGCGCTTACAGCGCTTGAAACTTGGTATGTTCGAGGCGTCAAGTCGACGCCGTCATATAACGACTAGTGACGGAGCGTTTCACCTACATTGCTCCCCCCCAATGGGTTCGACGGGGTCGCACACACGACAAAAAAACGTGTATGAAACGCATTACAATTATACTGACGCGTTTACATTGTAAAAGGCGCACTGCAGCTAAAAAATTGTACATGTATGAAACAAAATATAATTATACGCACTTAGTGCAACATTAGGTAAATGAAAACAGCGTTAAAATATAAACACGCTCTGGAAATCTAATAAAAATATTTACACTTCTTAATGCGAAGCTGCCCAAGTACATATTATATGATTGCGTTAACAATAGATAACACTTTTTATTTTTTAAGTTTAGAATAAGCACGCAGGCTTAATACATTTTACATCGTCAATGCTTCTTAATTGAAGCTTAAAATAATTATGGGTTTACATATGCTGTTTTAAATGCAGTAAAAAAAATAACAATTTTGATTTATTTTTAATTAATAATACGGACACGTTGGAATTTCAACGTTTAAGATTACAACTGCTACGCAGTTAAATAAAAATGTATACTTGTGTTTATGAATTACTGTTGCATGAACACACATTTTGACATACTCATACTTTAATATTATGATTCTCGAGAGAGAGTGTCGATAATACCGTCACGCGATAACTCAATCTCTTTATTTTTATTTTTATCTTTATTTTCTTTATCTTTATTTTTAATTCGGCGTTCCAAAGGAAACCGCACCGCGACTTTACATTTTATAAATTTGTAAACGAAGTCATTAACATACGTCAAATGCTCGATGCAATTTAAGTCTAGCAACTTAGTTTTGCCTTTGCCCAAATGATTCTCTACACGTAATTCTCTAAATGAGAGAAAGACAAGAGACTGTAACGAGACCGCCAAATATTGCGAGTAGCTTATTTTGAGCGATTCAATTACACATAATTCTGAAAAATCAACGTAATCGACGAGCGGTACACCCGACAGGTCAAGCATTTTGACATTACTTATATTCAAAACTATACTTGGGATAAACTTGGCAA